CGACTTTGGCAATAAAGGATAAGAATAAGAATAAGTTCTACATACTACAACTGCCAAGTTGCTGACCTTCTAGTGTAGAAGTCCAAGGATTTCAATTTAATTATTTAAAAATATGCTTGCATATCAAAGAATAATATCACATATTGAACTCACCCATCACAAGGTGGATCTACGGAAGGCCAAGTTCTATTCATCTTTCTTTCACTAGAACTCCACTGTGATGCTAGGCTTAGCGCATGCCCCTCATCAGTAAATCCATGCTTCTTGAAAAAGTTGTTGGCTAAATACTGAGCAAACTCCGCATGTTCTCCGGTGTGTTCAACACCCTTAGGCATCTTGGAAGGCTGGGTGACGTAAATACCAGAATTCGCCCACCTCTTGTCTGAGTAGTCCTCTTCCTGATAGTGAGGGTTAAAATTACCGTATTTTGGCGCATTTTTCATCTGTTGCGTGCCCCATCCAGAGGTGTGACGCTCCTGGCTTTCTGGGTTGGCTATTACAATGAGCGTTTCCGGGTGTACCTTTGGATGTTGGCATTGCTTGGCTGGAGACTTGTGTCCACCTGATAACAGATCGACAATGTTCTGTACTTCTGTATCTGTAGCAAATCCTTTTGTTTTTTCTCCACCTAAAGCATTTCAACAGAACATACAATAAGACATTCTCAACCAACAACAGTTCTTTTCAGAACAATCTACGTGGTGCATACTTGAAAGGGGTGAACTATTCAACATTAAAGAACTTTTGAGTTGTTATACTGAGCTATTTCACAGTAAATAGACACTCCCTAAACAATATTTTTTTATATCATCATATAGAGCTTGGTTTTCATACAATCCCTACACTGTTGCTACAGCAATCGCTACACAGCTTAACTGCCACTCCACGATCAAGATGGCACCCTGATCCACCAGGTTCAACCTTCACGATTCGTTGTCAACGAATTGTAACTACTGTTGACGTCATCAGCTTTCTTTGCACTTCACCGTTTAAAATCCCAACATGACAAAAACGTCTAAAATTTAATGTAGTGTATATATATATATATATTTTTTTTTTATTGAATTTCAAGAAATGAGATCATTGTTTCTACGAAAATTATATTAGAGCTAATAAGGTAAAAAACTAGAAAGAGAAAAAAAACCCCTTTTTTATTAAAAAAAAATAAGGATTTTGATATTTTTTTGTGTTTTTAATTTATTGTGGCTTCTTGTGATTTTGTCTGTTAAATTTCTTATCATATCTTAACTGGTTGTATGTATTGCTGGGCCTTAAATATATCAAGGCTTTGTACAGTTTAAAGCTGCTTATGGTAAAGAAAGGGAAAAAAATGGAAAAAATTTCTTACCTTCATTTGGCCAGGCTGTATTACTGGACGTGTCAGTATTATCTGAGGAGGTTATGGTAACTACAGGGCTCACTAATACTTTCACTTGTCCATCATGACGCTGGTCAGTCTACAATTAGAACAAAATATTTATTTGAAAACCATGTTAATGGTTATTTTACGATTGAGGACAAAATGAGCCGGACAGCATATTAAATGTACAATAAATCAAAGAATAGAAAAGGAAAATGAACACTAACTACTAGGCTTATGTCTGTAAAACAGAACATACAGCTTTCCTCATTGCCATAATGAGAACTGATGTTGAAATTACAAAGTAAAATATCATTAAAAAACTAATAAAGAACAAAATACATGATAAACAAAAAATGAAATCTTGAATGAATTATTTATGTAGTAAATGAAAAAAATCATGCATACTAACTCGACATTAGTAAGCCTTGAACTGAATCTGCAATGGTATAAGAGAAGGTGATGTGGAGAGTCTAACTATTGCACTATAGAACCCGACTCTGCAGATGTCAGTCAATTTTTAGTCTATCATGCTTAAATTGTATATGCATTCCACGGTAATTTTCCTAGCTGTGGCTAGTTTAAATGCTTTAGAAAGCACAAATTGATTACTCGTTTATTAATATTAAGAATAAGTAGAATGATGACATATTTAAATATGCACATCTTTGATATATGGTATTTGCTTAGACAAAATTTGAAAAAGATCCAACTACGGCAAGTGACCAAAGTGGCGGACAGAAAAACCCAATGCAAAAACATAAGAAAACGGATAGAAGAATAAAAAATCATAACAAAAACAATGGCTTTTCCACTGGTGCCGGAAAAGCCAACAAACAAATTTTACAAACCAAATGAAACAAATAACAAAAAAACAAAAACAAAAAAAAACCCCAATAAAACATCACTTATGATAAACTTTTCTATAATATATCAAACATATACACTTCTTACAGTGAGTGCTGGTTTGGCAGGATACACTGTGTTCTGTGCTGATGTGTCTTGTCCCTGACGACTACTTTTCACGTAGAAATTGCTGTTCTTACTTGAGGAGGAGCCCTTCTTGTGGAACTTCGAGTTTAGTTTGCCGAACATCTTTCTGAGACCGCTAATCGGTGACTCTGCTTGTGAGCTGGGGTACTGATTCTGTCGTGTTACCACCTGCTGTTCATTTTCATTAAGCTCCTTACACAGCTTGACTTGTATGGTTGGAAGTAACTGCTTTCTGTGGTACAAGAATGATTCCAGAAAATGTTTGTTAGAATTATTAGCATTTGTTTAAAATGATAACAATAATAATAATAGTGTAGATTTCTAGAGTGCCGGTATCCATCAAACAAGATGCTCAGGGCACTTGAGGTATGGACTAGTAGTTGTAATTCGATCAATGACTTTCTTCCCCCCAAGGGTCCCTTCGTGTCTGTGCTACCCGGTAACCCAGTACCATTAACTCTCGTCGTCCACCGCAGGGGCTGCCTGTACCAGTACACCGGAGTATCTCCCCTACTCATCTCAAATGATGCACAGGGTTCTTTACAGTGCACAGAAGCCATTGTTGGAAACTGGGCCTACGGTTATTGTCCTCATCCGAGAAGACTTGTTCTACCAACAGAACCATAGGCAAGCGTGCCATTCATACCAGTGCTGATATTATGCTGTTAGGTTGCGGCACCCCCTGGATTAACCGCTCGACCAATCATGTATTAAGAGTGCAGCATATGTTATTACTCCCACTATGTTTCAACTTGAGGGCTAAGATGTTAGTCATGTGTGCATAAGAATTAGTTTGGAACTCCTACTACTAGTTAAATTTTCAATCCTGAAAAGATTTGTACAAAGATGGTCAACAAATTTGTTTGGTTTTATAGGTCTATTTTTCTAAGCCTAATTTCTTTTTTCTATTTCTATTAAATATTATTAAATTGTTAAATTAAGAATTAAGATTTAAATCACTGTGTACATTGCTTTTATAGGGATTGAAGTAACTAGATTAAATTTCATTATTATGCTAAAATTTATATGTTTATTAACTAATTAATTTGTAAATAATAATTATGCAGCACAATTATTGGAATATTTTTTTGGTCTTTAAGTTGTATTTTTATATGTATTGTTGTTTTGAATGTTGAATGTTGAACTTGTCAACAGAATAATTTTTGTATTCTACTTAATGCATCTTCTGAAGACATCAAAATAACAACTTTTATTTATTGGGTGTTCTTTAATTTTTATTTAATTACTTTTCTGACTACAGAATATGTTTACTTTAGTAAAATTTTAATTCAGTAGCAGTAAAGCCCAACATTTAAAAATAGAATTTAAACTAAGCTTAGATGAAATACAACTTGTTAAAAACAAACACACCAAATTAAATCAAAACTAGAAATAATGTACTTGTACAGAAACTGAGAATTGAACAATGATCAGTAGAATCATTTTACATTATAATACACAAAAAGTTCACTAAGAGAGTGGATTTGTTTTTTTTAGTCATCAAAACTAAATCCTGTTAAATTGAAAGGAAATATCTTTAGAGCACAGTGGCTTATCAAAATAAAGTGTGCATCCCTCCTAGTTATCCCTCCCACCCACCATTGGCAATGTCAGAAGTAAAAAAATTATGCTCAAGTAGTTAAAAATCATCTCATATCACTTAATTTTGCAACCTACACTCCATCAATCAACAAGCCCCCTATTCCACCTTTGTGCCCCAAAGGCGATATGCCACTGCTTTACAATAATTATTTCTACAAATTCAAATTATAAATTTCCATTAATTTCCTTCAGAATTATCAATTCAAAAGTTTTGTTAAGGAAAAGATACAGTAGCATAATATTGACAATAACTGTACTGTGGGATTAAATACAATTGTGTTGTGATGCTTACTTTCCATCGTTCCACTTGACAACATCAAACTTTACAGTGTATACAACCTCTATCTTTCCCAAAATAGACTTGCCACCTGCCACTGCATGGTGTGATTGACTTGGAATAATTAGGTTTAATGACCAGACTGTTGGTACCTCGATGATAAGCAAAGGACCATGGGAAGACACTTGCACGTAGTTATGGAAACCATTTTCAATTTGTACTTGTTCTATTGAAACCTTTATGAAAAAAGAATTATTAAATATTAATAATTTATTTACGTCATATACTGGACATCATGAAAAATTAAGTATATATGGTTGTTATTTTTATTAAACTTTGACCTATATGCCAGAAAGCTAATTACATCATTTACAAAAGTTGACACTGAGAGCAGCAGAGAAGAGAGGTGTTCATAATAGTTATCCAGGATGTCACCCCACTCTAAAAATTATGGTAAATTAGGGTGTTGCCTCAACAACTTATGACTGCAAAGTTTTATTAACAGGTTACAATCCAGCACAATCAACCCCAACTTTATAGGTCTACTCTCTTCCCACCCACATTGCTTAAAGCCCCATTCCAGGCAACCTTTGTTAGGAAAAATCTGATTTTTATATATGTTTTAAAGATTTATAAATATAATATGAAATTGCTAGTTTAACTGAATTTAGACATTCCTAAACATGAAATAAATGTAAAATAAAACTGAAATTTAGTTTTTTTTAATCCCTTTTTAGTGAAATATCACTGGGAATGGGGCTTTGGCAGTTGCCCATCAGCTACAGAATGCATTTAGGTAGAGTAACTTACAAGATTGGACCTGCCAAAAAGAATATGCGTTGCAATTTGACTCTGAGTGTGCGTTGACTGCGGACACATCTCAGCCAGGAATCTATAGGCCAGTAGTCTCACATCCAGCGTAAGTCCATTTTGCTTGACCACTTTGCTAACTAATTTTGCTATCAAATCCTGAAAGAAAAAACAAAATAAAAAGTCATGGATAGACTACGCATAAATTGGAAAACGTTGCAATTGACAAATCCAATGTAAACTAAGATGCATAATACTTGTTTCAAGAGGGGGGGAGGGAGGTGATTTAAAAAAAAAGGGAGAAAAAATAGTACATCCAGGGAGAAAATGGAAAGCAGGAAACCAAAGAAAAAAAAAACAACAGACTAAAGATATTTAAATATCAAAAGTGACTATCTGAAATAATTTATTAGAAAATAAGACTGTTTTGTTCTTTCACATTAGAAATTAAAAGTAATTTTTAAATAGTAATCTTTGTTAGTCTACACAGAATCAAACTTCAAAACTAGATAAGCAAATTGCAATTTCTATTTTTCCTGGTTTAACTTTTTTTTATTTCAACTTTATTTATAGAGGGTAGCCCTTCCAGCTGAACCCGGAGGCCAGTTGATGTTCAGGGCCCTCTTTAAAATGTCAATAAAATACAGAAGAAGGAAAATTATCAAAATGACTAAACATTAACAAGACAAAGACAAAAAAGTAAGATAGCATTATTATATCAATAGCATTATTGTATCAATAATAATAATAAATATCAATAGCATTATTGTATCAATAATAATAATAACTATGTAAACCTACAGCTGGTTTCACTTCATGTTCAAGTTTAGTATTGCCTTAAAGGGGAAGGAGAAAATGTTTGCATTCTTCAGGGAGAAAAATAAGAAGAAGGGTACTTACCATTTCAAATTGTTTTAAGAAATGAAGGGTTAAGTTAAGTACAGTATTTCATATTGGGGAAAGTTAACGTTGGAATTGTTCAGGGAGGGAAACGGCTTGGGGGGAGAAGGTGGGATTAATTTAAGCTGTTTTGACTTGGTCAATTGTCATCAACACGATGCGTTCCCAGCTTAATAATGGTCTTGCATATCGTATTATTTTTTTCAACAAAGTTCTATTTTCAGCAATATATAGTATATGTTTTTGTGTATTTCTTTCAGTATATTCCTACAGGGCTCAAAGATTTTAGTCAAAATGTCAAAAAAGAAATCTGAACATGAACTGCCTACATTCCTGCCTAACGACTATAAAATATTATTTGACAAAACCATGGAATATGCCTAAATATGGTCATGATGACATCAAATCATTGCAGTCAACATATTAAATGAATGGCAAACATTAACTCAACTACTACTATAACTTAAGTAATAACTGGACAACCACGTATTGGCGTATCATAAGATTTGTACTTGGGTCATTTTGATGCGTTGTTTTGCTTCAGCTAATAGCACTGTCAGCTATAATATTGAATGCGATGCTGATGTTTTAATTAACTGTCATACAGTACTGTTGTGGAGCTGTCTCTTATACACATCTAGATGTGTATAAGAGACAGGCTTAAAGCCCCATTCCAGGCAACCTTTGTTAGGAAAAATCTGATTTTTATATATGTTTTAAAGATTTATAAATATAATATGAAATTGCTAGTTTAACTGAATTTAGACATTCCTAAACATGAAATAAATGTAAAATAAAACTGAAATTTAGTTTTTTTTAATCCATTTTTAGTGAAATATCACTGGGAATGGGGCTTTGGCAGTTGCCCATCAGCTACAGAATGCATTTAGGTAGAGTAACTTACAAGATTGGACCTGCCAAAAAGAATATGCGTTGCAATTTGACTCTGAGTGTGCGTTGACTGCGGACACATCTCAGCCAGGAATCTATAGGCCAGTAGTCTCACATCCAGCGTAAGTCCATTTTGCTTGACCACTTTGCTAACTAATTTTGCTATCAAATCCTGAAAGAAAAAACAAAATAAAAAGTCATGGATAGACTACGCATAAATTGGAAAACGTTGCAATTGACAAATCCAATGTAAACTAAGATGCATAATACTTGTTTCAAGAGGGGGGGAGGGAGGTGATTTAAAAAAAAAGGGAGAAAAAATAGTACATCCAGGGAGAAAATGGAAAGCAGGAAACCAAAGAAAAAAAAAACAACAGACTAAAGATATTTAAATATCAAAAGTGACTATCTGAAATCATTTATTAGAAAATAAGACTGTTTTGTTCTTTCACATTAGAAATTAAAAGTAATTTTTAAATAGTAATCTTTGTTAGGCTACACAGAATCAAACTTCAAAACTAGATAAGCAAATTACCATTTCTATTTTTCCTGGTTTAACTTTTTTTTATTTCAACTTTATTTATAGAGGGTAGCACTTCCAGCTGAACCCGGAGGCCAGTTGATGTTCAGGGCCCTCTTTAAAATGACAATAAAATACAGAAGGAAAATTATCAAAATGACTAAACATCAACAAGACAAAGAAAAAAGTAAGATAGCATTATTATATCAATAGCATTATTGTATCAATAATAATAACTATGTAAACCTACAGCTTGTTTCACATCATATTCAAGTTTAGTATTGCCTTAAAGGGGAAGGAGAAAATGTTTGCATTATTCAGGGAGAAAATTGAGAAGAAGGGTACTTACCATTTCAAATTGTTTTAAGAAATAAAAGGTTAAGTTAAGTACAGTATTTCATATTGGGGAAAGATAACATTGGAATTGTTCAGGGAGGGAAACGGGTTGGGAGGGAAGGTGGGATTAATTTAAGCTGTTTTGACTTGGTCAATTGTCATCAACACGATGCGTGTATATTCCTACAGGGCTCAAAGATTTTAGTCAAAATGTCCAAAAAGAAACGTGAACATGAACTGCCTACAGACCTGCCTAAAGACTATCAAATATTATTTGACAAAACCATGGAAGATGCCTAAATATGGTCATGATGACATCAAATCATTGCAGTCAACATATTAAATGAATGGCAAACATTAACTCAACTACTACTATAACTTAAGTAATAACTGGACAACCACGTATTGGCATATCATAAGATTTGTACTTGGGTCATTTTGATGCGTTGTTTTGCTTCAGCTAATAGCACTGTCAGCTATAATATTGAATGCGATGCTGATGTTTTAATTAACTGTCATACAGTACTGTTGTGGAGATGATGAGTTCACCAGAACACCAATCATATTAATTTATACAACCACAAACACTACGATGACATCATACTGTAGCTTCTAATATCATTGTGATGTATTAACAGCCAATCTAGAATTTAACATTTTCAACCATTTAATGCCATTAAAGTAATGTAAAATGACATACTGTATAATTTCTGACGTGGGTTTCTTTGACCTCTAAATAGATATTAAGTCAAGGTTGTGGATTATGCAACTAAATTATTATTTATTAACAACTATTATTTTAATAATATTTTTAAAAAAATAATTATATTAAAAACAATATTAATACAGGTCTCCCTCAAATTAAAGACCACTTTTGGACCAGGTTTTTCCTGTTTAGCAGTTCATTATACATAAAGGATAGGTGTTTATTTGGGGCTGCCAAAATAATATGGTCTTTAATCTCTATTTGTATATCTTTTTTTAAATAATTTGGGCAAAAAATAAAAAACAAATGAATAACAATATAAACATTATTTAAGTATAAGAAAAAAATACAGACCAAACAGCCACATGTTTAGGTTGATCAAAAAGATAATTAAAGAATGACAACAACAATATTATAATAATATTATATAGCTTGCGGTACACCACATAGATCGTTCAGAAAAGAACATGCTGTTGGTTGAGAATGTCTTGAAATTTCGATTGAGTTGCTTCAATCGTATTCAGAGAATAATAATACTATTATTCATCATCGTCATCATCTTTTTAAGTCTGTTTTCCCCCGCACGCGAGCTGTTGTTAAGTTGTAAAGTAGGTGTACCCTGCGAAACCTGCGGCAACTTCTGGGTTGAGACTAATCTCCAGAGGTTCCTTTTCACAACATCCCACCATGACTTAAATGGGCCACCTCTGAGCGATATTCATCAACATCAAATTCTATAAATACGCCTTAGTAAAAGAAAATGACAATAATAATTTTCAAAATACTAACCACTATTTTCTGAAAATTATTTTCTTTGCTTGGTTTCTGTTTGCACACTTCACCTTCCACTTGAATCGTGACATCATGCAAGTTTGCTTTCAGTCTTTTTGCCAACTCCTCTTGGTTAGGCATTTCTGATTGGTTCTTTGGCATATACCTAACCATCTCTTCTAACACAGATTGTGATTGATTCAAAAGGCTCTGAATGTGGTTTTCATGACAACATCCATTAAGCACCAATGCTGAGCATTGTGGGTGTAGGTGGAACCCACCTATCATGGTAAAATCAGTCTTTGGTAATAGAACAAACTCATACTTGTACGTCTGAAAAGAAAAACAAAATTCTTAATTCATAGTGAGCAAGATTACCATACATTGCATACAATTAAACAGCAGTTTAGGTCTCTCAGTCTAACTAGTTATAGCCACTGTATGTGTGCTGAATCGAGGACATCCTGGTTAACCTTTGGTACCTGGTACAATTCCATTCATTGCTCTCCCTGTGTTTCAGCTACAGGGCTGAAATGCATTTTTAATATTAAGGTGCACGACCTTACAGAAGGGATGTTTATGCTGTTGGTCCTTCATGCAATATGGCCCATGTGCACATTAAAGAACGCAAAACATCATTCAAGAAATGGTAGGCGATCGTTTCCTCGTATACTGCCCTTCTACCAGAAGGACCCGAATGGAAACAAATTTATGGACTTTGAATGGTTTTCCTTATTATTCACACCAAAGGTTATTACATAATTGAAGTCTCTATGCATAAATGTTACCATGATCATTATTAAATAAATCATACGATGTGCAAACTCTTCTCTCGGCTCCCAGTGGAGTACATTCATATTCATGAATGTAATTCAACACCTGACCAATTTCATGTCTAAACCATTCACATCCTAACCAGGTGCCATGTATACTCCTAGGTGCAAAGACATACAGTAGATAAAAGGAATTTTTAAAGGCAGTGTCTATTTAATTACTACACCGGTCTTTTGCTTCACAAAATTTTTATTTAAACTACTACTATAGTTAGGTTTACACTAGAGTGTTAAATGCCCAATCAGTTAGATCCTAATCGTTCCCAGAAAGTGGATAATGTACACTATCGGTTGCGTGCGCTTTCGGTCAGCAAGTTATCTTCGTTTCTATCATTAACCAATCAAACGTACAGACTTCCAATTTTCTATAGGCCAGTGATCCCGCTGTCATCCTCTTGATATCTAGATTGGAGATTTTCTTTTATGAATGCAACGGTGAGGGTGTAAGTTATTAATCTAGATTCTGTTAGCCGTAACATGGTGTGTGTGAACATAGGCTATGTTTTACATCAAGCTACAGTAACATCTCCCAATTATGTACCCTTCTGTCTGAACAGAGTTTTTAAATTTGAGAAAATTATCAGAAAGATCAAATTTTCGTAGCATGTCAGTGGTGAGGTAGGCCTAGGACTATTGCTAAGTAGTACACAGGGATAGGTAGGCCTAATAACAGATTTCTTAAAACAATTTTAAGTGTTTTCATAGCAAAAAAAGATTGTAATGACATCAACGCTAGAAATTGTGTTCGTAAAATAGATCTAGTTCCTAGTTAGGAGATGATACTGTACGTATTCGCACTTCCAATGTAGGTGGGACCAATGTTTTGATTGCATTTTTGAAGTTTTATTTTCAACTTTTTGCAATGAACTACTTCTCTAATGTAAACTTAAAATCAATTTCTTTATGCTATTAAAATGCAGAACACATTAAATTACAAAATGTCTCGTTTGAATCTATTAATACTTTTTTGTAATGACCTTTTTAGGTAAGTGCCACATAGCTTACAATAAATTTCCACAGGCTATAAAAATTACAAATTTATGTTTGAATCAATAGATATAATTAATACTTTTTGCGTTGACCTTCTAATCATTAATGTAAAGTGTCATAAATTCTTTGAAGGGGACTAGTAATGAATTTTATTTATTCATCTATTCATTCATTCTATATATATTCAGCCAAACACTTGCATTTACAATAATAACAGTGAAATAAAAAAGATCAAACAAATTGGATAAGCAACAATTTTTTAAAAATTACCTCAGTTGGCTAGGACTGATAATATTGTAGTGATGAACACTATAGCTCAAAAACTTATCAACCCAGTCTTTAGAAATAACATATTTATTCGAATCAATGCCCTACTTTGAATAAAAGCCCCCTATAGGACCTTTTTTAGAACATACACCTCCCTCGAAAACACCATGAGAAATTTATTTTTTCCTCAAATAAACACCCCCTAACTGACTGTAAACAAATCTAATGGAAGCAACATCATTCTCAAAAGATTCTATTAATGTTCTACACCAGTAGAATTCCATTTTTCCAAACCTCATTGTTATTAATATGTCTTTGTGATCATGCAATAACATATCTTGATGGTAATTATGTGTTGTAGATTCCACATTTATAGTGAAATTAAAGAGTGTTAATTTGAGTAGCGTAAATTCTCGAATAAGCACCGTTCTCAAATAAGCGCCGCATCAAACATGATTTTTTTTCGTTAGGTGCCGCTCTCGAATAAGCGCCGCGGCTCTTAATCGAGAGTATATAATATTACCATGTGTGTAATGAAACAGTGTCTTAAATTCAATGTATACAGTGTTAAAATAAATAAATAACACAATGAAGACACAAGCATTTCTTATAAACGTTTGTTTACGATGATAGGACCTATGATAGGCCTACTGAACCATGGGAAAATGTGAAATAGGTAATGGAAACGGGCAAGGAAAGCGCCCAGCCAATATTTCTTTTATAAGCGCTACTCTTGAATAAGCGTCGCTCTTGAATAAGCGCCACACTGAGGCCGCCAAAAATCATATAAGTGATGTACACAAACAGTGTGGTTTGCATGAGGGCCTCTATTGATCACCTCACTGGATTGCCTCTGAGCTGGAAGGGTCACCCTCATCAAATATGATGGAAATAAAATAAATTTTCAAAAATCTTACTAGTACAAGTGCATCTAATCGTTGCTTAATTTCTGCCATGTTGGGATCTGTGGCATTCTGAGATTTGCTGAGGTTTACAAGATCTCCAATTGGAATTGCATCCCCTCTTCTCAATGTCTTAGTCATCTGGATTTAAAACAAATTTAAATAAAAAGTTAAAAAAAATGTAATCACATAGACACTCATGACCAGCCAATTATAATTATAGAATCTTGTACAGTATGATCAATGCAGTAGCTTAAAGGTCTGTAATACCAAATATTATGATAGTGTATGCTGTACATTACACTAAAACAATAGTTATATGGAATCTTGAATATGACACGGATGGCATCTTAATAAAGGTGTGTCCACACTATCTATTATATGCTACATGACAAGGCCAACAGTTATACAGTAGAACCTTCAATATGATCAAGGCAGCACTTTAAAAGCCTCTCCATACTGATGACATCATTGGTATGATACTGCATGGTACCATCATGTTCATATATAGACATCTTCATGTTCATTGACAAATAACTGGTATTTGTTTAATCACAAGGCCCCTGGTACAATTCCTGTGACAGCGAGATATATGTGGCAAAGACAAGCAAAACCAGTCACTGGTCGCAAACATCGATTTTTAGTTATTACTACATGGTGAAACAGTAGAATGAGAGATATAAAAATGGCAAAAGAAATCATTTAAATTTGACATTTCAAGTGTTCAAACATACAGGTGTTGAAAGAACAATATTTGAGAAATCAGCCTTCAAAGTTTACGATTTCGGGCATTTCTCAGGCAGAAACCATCACCAAATCGTTGAAAATTAATGTTTAACATTGAAAAATGAGAAAATAACAGCATAGTCTGATGTATAGATATATAAAGGTTAGTTTAGTGCAATAAAATAGATTTAAAAAAATTTGAACTAGCATGTTTTGGCCGTTATCTCTGAAACACTGGTTTGGCTTGTCTTTGCCACATATTCTTAAGACTAAAAATAGGCTCCCAGCAGGAGCGTGTGTCAAAAATATACTTAAGATGACACATGATCCATCATGCACCTCCACCGGATTTACCTTTTCCGCCATCTTTAAATGCCAGGTGATAACATAGTGTCTTCGCCCCCAAAGGTGCATAGACACAAAAACAACTCCACTCCCTAAGCATCGTCCATCATTATTAGCGAGTTACTTTACAGGATGCGAATGAATTTTTAAAAACTAGAGGACAAATTTTAACAAAAAAGTGAGGTATAGAGAGGTTTGGCGCAGTGGTTATGTTTCTGCTTTTCAACCATGAGGTCGGAGGTTCAATCTCTCGCTGTGCATTTCATTTGTATCCTTGGACAAGGCACTTTATCTACAGTTCACTCTCTCCACAAAGTAGTACAAGTGGGGACTAGTTTCAAACATAAATTAAAAAGTGTTGATTACAGCTGCAACATTATGGAATTCTCCCCAGGGAGCTAAGTATGTGCTTGATCTAATGACCGGGGGGAAATAATGAGAAGCACTGAAGCCTTGTTGGCATTAAGCACTACATATTATTATTATTATTATTCTTATTATTATTTGAAAGCCCCAAGATGCAGGACAAAGGTTGAGAATCTCATTTCATTCTACGTCAAACCGTTTCTTAAATGATTAAATATAGTTGCCAATCAACAAACTTATATAATTATATAAGTAATATGTTTTTCCAATGACAATGATGGGATTGTAATACTTTAGAAAAAAAATATAAATTTTTCAGAAATTTGAAAAAAATGGTTGGTAATAAGAAAAATTTACCTGGATTTGTGAGATAAATTTTAAGCACTTAAAAGCAAGCTTATTTAATGCTATATTCTCTCTAAATTAGTATTTTATTTCTTCGATGATTTTACAACATGCTCGTATTCTGCCTGGTTTAGCATTTTCCTAATTTATACCAAGCTACAGTAGAATCTATCGCAGTATAATTTATTGTCCCAAGGTATTACACTACTGCAACTAAATATACATCTTTCAATCTTATGCACAAGTTATGAGGTACACGTACACACTGATCACTATCTAGCTCAACATAGATTTTTTTTTCTATTCCAATCTTCCTTGTTGAAGCTTATTAACATCACTTGAATTAATCTAGATAATCCTCAAGCCACGTTGCTATGAATAAAAGTCAATATTCAAAATGCTTGGGGCTGAAGAATGGATTATGAGGCCTTTCTGAACATTAGTTGAATTAAATGATCATATTAAAGGTGAAAAAGTTTTTAAGCTTGGTTTACAAAAAATAAATAAGTAAACATTATAAATACATAATTGTATTGAACATACCATAGATACTACCTGTACTTATTATCATTGTTCTTTCCTTGTTTTTTTTTGTTTTTTATTTTTCTTTTCTTTTAAAGCTTTTTCCATCTTTTATCCTTAACATATTATAACAAATTTTATTTAACTTATCATCATTATTACATTTATCATCAGAAATCATAAAATTATTATAGCGACACTGATTCAACATCAAAAAGGTGGCGGTAAAGGGGCTTATTTCAGCATTTTGTGGCTCAAATTTCAAGTATACTTTCGGATTTTCCTTTCATTTTCCTGCATATCACAAAGGAATTAATCACTGTCTTCACGTGAAAAAAGCAGTGAACATATTTTTAGGTCAGACTGGTTCACTATGAATCTTCATATCATTATTATACACAATTATCAGCAAGCTACTGTTATTTTCATATTGTAGCTGCTATTTAGCATTGTATAATACAATTTGCATAAAGACAGAATTCAGTATTACAGTATTGGAGTTATAATGCAAAAATCCTAGTGTATAAGGAGCATGAATCAATGACTTCAGATTATTAAGGCAAGAAGCTTATCCACAAAACCGTATACACATCAACTAATATCTATCTTTATTTATAATTGTAAAATTTGAATACACCTAACCTTAATATTGTACCTTTAATTTAATTTTATTGTAACTGGAATTTTTGACCAGGGAAGGGGGGGAAAGATGAGAGGGGAGGGAAGATTCCAAAAATGAAATCCCATTAAACGTTGAAAGTTGACACATATTTTACTTAAAGCCAGGCGCTCTCTGCACTTGACGGTCGTAGACCAGCGCGATTCTATGAAGAATGCAACGCGGCAGCATGTGCGCAACGATCGTTTTTATTGACGATCCTTTCAGACGACACCTACAATCAGCAGGCGGCCCCGTGTGGTCTGGCGCTTACAGGGAGTGGAGTTTGATTCGTCGTGCGAAGGACGCACAACCGTCGTACGATGCAGCAAGTGCCCGGCTTAAGATGTTAATTACTGTACACGTACCTGAGACATACTAAGCCACGAGGAGCAAGCTTCCTTGAGTATCTCATCTCTGTCGTCTCCAATGAAGAAATCCTCCAAACTTTGGTACCGAACCAGCGGCTCAAATATTTGCGAGGCTGAGTTGAAGAACTGGCACTGTGTCTGAAGCATCAGCAGGAAGCAATGTGCCATCACCTATGCATGAAATATAAAATGAAGGAACTGATCAATTTCAAACATAAACCTACAAATTGAAATGAAATTTTAAATTAAATTATACCAGAGTAAGATAAAAGATGAGTATGGTGGTATGAATGAGCCTCCTCGACTCCAAACACATAATGAAGAATTGTAATAACAAGGTAATGATTACAAAAGTTATATCCAAATAACAAATTTGAACATGTGTATATCCTTTTACTCTAACAAATAATCATAACAAGAAAATTATAATCCAATTCAGCTTTGTGCAAATGAATAGATGTCTTCTCGAATTTCCTTAATAAAGAAGCAGGTAAAATTTCTTGAACTGAAATCATTGATAATTAAACCAAAAGGACACAAGTTTATAAAAAAAAAAACAACACCACACATCTCAGAAGTAACACAAAAGATTTAATAAAAGACAAGTTTTGAGTTGCCAACAACCCATCATTAGTAAAAAGAGAAAAAACAAAAATTTAAAACCAAGCCCTTTTCTTGTGGACTACATATAGATCATTATTATGCTGCAAACAAAATGTATATTAGTTAATTTAACATAATTAATAATAAGAAAATTGAGTAGTACAGTAGTTAGTGAAAATCTGTATGCTTTTTCAAAATATAACTAATGTGTCATTACACATACTGTAGACAAGTTGCTAAATAGGTTAATAGGTTATAAGAGGTATTATGGAAATACCTGGACTATACAAGTGTATGTTAAAGATAAAGGTGGTTACTCTATGGGATTTAACATTAATTCTGAACAAGAAACTGTAATAAATCTTGTATCTGTCAAATATCATTACGATTGAGTTGATTTCATAATGTTAGCTATTTATGTATTCAAGCAAACAAAAATGTTTATAAACAATGTCATTGGTTCCAATATAATAAAAGTTAAATATAAATTCTCAAAAAAAAAAAACAAAACAAAAATTTCAATTTAACTGTTAATAATTCTCTTAAAGAAAATTACAAAACAATTACAAATAGTTTTGTGGAAATGTTTAAACTACTGTATGTTTTTTAATTTAATGACAAAAAGGATCGACATTTCGGGTCCATCATGGAACAATTTTCAAGATAAAAGTAAAGGTACCGTAGGAGAATAACTCATAACTTGGTCTATATATAAATATAAATGGTATATATAAATATAAATGGTCTATATAAATATGGTTCTTTGAATTAAATTCTTACACTCCGTAAAATTAAATATAGATATTACTTTGTTGAAAAATTGGTCTTTTGAATAACTGTAATTAAACTATTAACTTTCACCTACACAATATTGATATCATTACAAAACATATGCTTCAAACAGCACGACAATTACTTATGCTTTTGTCACTTTTCAAATTGACTACTTTTAATCTAAGGGTGCGATCGGGCGATTTTTTTGTGGAGTCTAACATGGTATAAATCTGGAAAAGACTATTTCCAGTTCCCGCCCGAACAGGTGTTAAACGCGGACCGCCTGCTGATAATCCAACACTGCAAATTGCAGTGCTTTGGAGGAGGGGCATTCTTTATCACTTAATCCCTTTTTGATTGCTCTTTAATTGTTTCAACACGTGCCAGAAGTAAAGTCTGTTTAAATTTGCTTGGTCCCTGTTTCATTTACAGTTTAATTCCAGAAACAAAACTGAAAAGCCGAAAGGTCCACTGATTAATCTCAGATAAGAAAGTATAATACATACTCCAAGTATTGAAATACACGTGTTGGGATTCAATATTTCGACATTAATTATGTCACCATCAGGAATGATGATGAAAAGCTCGATAAAAATAAATTATTTCAACAGAGGGCTAGCCTAAAATCCAGATTGTTACACTATTACATTCGTGGTACCACTGCTTATTCGTTTAACCGTTTATTCGTAATAATTTTCTGTTTTATACTACCATGCCAAACGAATGAAAGTTTATTCTGGGTTTATCCCAAAATGCAAATCTGCGATTTATTGGGAGTTTTCAATGTAGGCCCTATGCTTTATGAAGCTTATTGTTGTAGCTTCTTCGGTCATTTCATTACTTACAACATTATGCAGTGTACCAACGCCGATGTCAGTGTCTTAATTAAAGTGTAGGGTTACGCAAGAGTCCAGGGAAACTTGATAAACCTCATCATTTGCATAATACCTTAGATCTTACGTCAGAGGTTAATGGTTTTTGAAAGCCAAGTTCCGCACAAACGGGTAGACCGTCCGCCAAAAAAATACCGGTAAGAACTCTAAGCTTCCAAAATTGATGATACAGTAAAAAGACTGCAACGCCTCCACAACCTCGGCACACACGTATAACTAATGTAAACTGTAACATTTGCGATACACAGTGGTTAATTTTAGTTTGGTTATCACCAATTCTTCACACATGATTTGTGTTTATACTTATGTTCCAGTCGGCTATAACTCCTTCACCCCTTGAACACAAAATTGGAACGATTTTGGGGGGATGGCCTTAGACCCGGGCAATCCCCTTTTCAATCAACATATGAAGTCTAAGCTACATCCAAGTTATAACCTGGGCCTTGCCCAAGAAAAGGTTGGTACATAAAATTGGGCGTAAAGTAGT